AATCAAAATGGCGCGAATAAAAATGGAGGTTAGAGTATATTTATCCCCACTCTCTTATTTTACGACAACGAATGAGATTCGTCGTAAGAAAATTTGAGCCTAAAAAAAGTAATAATCACGTGAGTGACTCGTGGTACTTTGTGAGAATCAAACGTAAATACGATATTTTGTTATTTTAGTTTAATTACGTTCACACGTTTTAAATAATTTTTTTTTCTCTAAATGAATTAAATAATTTTTATACTTATATATATTATATCGGTAAAAAGAAAATCTAATATTGATGAGATAGTAGTTTTTTTGTTTATTGTGACCAAAGCAATCGATAGGATAAGGGGTTAATCGAAATAATAATAGGGTTAGCATCCCCTTTCGACCTAACATCCAATTATATTAAATCCAAGGTTTCTTTTTAATTTTTCTTTAATACTTTCGACGAAGATTAAAATAATTGAACAGATGAGAATGAGATGAAAATAACGCGAATAAGAAAAAAATAAATATTGGAATGAAATATTTGTTGAAAAAAAATGTAAAATAAATAAATCATAATAATATTGTTATAATATAAATATCAAATGGAAAATCTTACCTATCGTTGCTGGTAATATTCTTCTTTGACGTATTATTAATTGTTTTAGTAGTCGTAGCAGTTGTAGTAGTTGTTAAATCATCAGTTTCAGTAGACTTATTAATATTATTGTCTTTGTAATGTTTCCTCATAAGATGTAATTTACCGAACAAAGACATTATAAGGTAAAAATCATTCCCAATCGTCTTTTAACGCGTCGTTCCACGTTAAATTTGTATTTGCTTGGTAACATGTCACAAGAAACTGCACCATGCATGATGGTTCGTGCCGAGCGAGTGTAAGTAAACTGTAAATAAAGTCACGTGCGATTAGGGAGTCATATGATTCCTTCCGAGAGATAACGTTCTTCCGTTTTTCCTAACCGTTTTGACATAGAACGAATGACTGATGAACAACGAATTGGTTAGTCGTCGTTGTTGTCGTCGTCAAAATTATCGTTACTGGTTGTGTTGTAATAATAATAGTAGTAGTAGTAATAGTAACAGTAGTTGTCGTTGTCGAAAGTAGTTATGCGAAACGGTAAAAGATAAAAAGAGAAAGAATATATTTTCTCTTTCAATGCAACACAACACAATACAACGTCGCAAATAATCGGCGCACGCACAAAACACGCGGAAAATTAAGACGCCTTGTTGTTTGTCCCCCTTTCTTTCTTTTTTTCTTTCTTGATTAAATTCAAAGAATGTAAGAAAGAGATAGAATGAATTTGAAAGAAATCAGAATCAATGTAGCGTGACTATTTAATGACACGATTGACACGAAAACGTAAGAAACATCTAGCAAAAAAATAATTTCGTGGTATTACACGAACAAAGATACGTTCGCCGCAACGTTGGCACTTTCGGTGACACTTTGCTCAGATACAAGAGGCGCCATCTTCTTGTTAAACGCATACTCCATAACATTTTTTCTATATAACTTTTTTTTATTATCTTTTAACATGCTTGATGTGAAGATTAATATTATAAATACATTATTTGATGATTAATCGTTTTATAATTTATATCGAAAGAGATGATATCTTTCGATAGATTATTATTATTATAAACGATCTTTGACTAATGATCTATGATCTACGATAATCTGATGGTGCATAGATCGATAGATCGATATGTGCGATTTTTAAACTTTGATTAACAGCGCACTCTACATTATATATGATTATTTCGATGAACTATTTATCAATGCGATGTTGTATCGATAATTTATCGACTGTTGATATTAACTTTAACAGGAATCTGCATTATCGATCATAGAAATCTGCATTATCGATTGTCGTGTTAAAAAAGTTACTAGAAAATGACAAAATTATTTATTTATTATTTTGTCATACGGAAAAATGTTCAAATTATTAAAAATATTGTAAATACTTAGAAATATTTTTGTTAGTAACAGTTCTACTTTTAAAAACCAATATAATCGTGTTTTGTTTTTACATTAATTTTTCGATAATTAATAACACGAATTTTCAAATACAATTGTGTGTGTATAAATTAAAGATAAAATATTTAAGTTAAAAATCTTACGATAGTTTTCTTTTATAACATGTTGTACATTTTATAACGTTGAACACCGTAACGATGAAGATATTCGGTATTTTCTATCGTATCGCTGGTTGTCAGTAATTCGAATGCTTTGTGAACATAATCCTTGCTAATAATCGACAAATAAACAGGAAATTCAATATGAAAATTTAATATTAGATTTCCTTTTTCCTTTGGATTGTCTGGTAAAGGTAATCCTTCCCCTTTGATAATCTTGCGATAGTCTGGTCTGATAAATAATATTTAAAATAAATGAAAATTTATATTTTCATTAAATTCCTGTAATCTCGAAATTAAATTTTTAAACACACACACACACACACACACCTACCAAAAATTCCAATCGATATATAAAGAAAGTAATTGTTTATTAATAAAATAAAAAAGAAAAATATTTTTCGTAAGAAATAAATATATAAATAAGCATACGTGATAATAGAAGTTATTGGAACTCTAAATGTTCTATCATCGATGGTATTAACAGTAATAGTTGTTCCCGTAAGTGCTTCTTTTAAAAAAACATTAACAATCATATGCAAATCCGAATTTTTCCTTTGAAACGTCTCGTGAGGTTTATCCTCGACAACGAATATTATATCAGCTAAATACAACAATTTGGTCATTGTCAAAATTATTGTTTATATATTATCGAAACAAATAATAATTCTTTGAATAATTTTACCCGATATTTTACTCGAACTTTGATCACCCATTTCTGGATAAATAATTGTCGTTCCAGTTAATATACCAGGTTTTATCGGTATTGTCAAAATGTCTTCTTTTATTTCGGTTTTAATTTTTGTGCAATCAACGAATACCAATCTTTGAATTTTCATTTTTTTCGTTCCACCATAATATACCTAAGAGGAGAACAATGCAGATATATAAATATAAGTAAAATAATATACATATATATTTTTGTAAGATATATTTTTAAATTGTCATACGCGCGAGAAACATTAACATCGTCCCCGTTAACTTAGCACATATTTATTTATATCAATGAATCACTAGGAAAAATATGTTTGCTATTTTACAGTTAATTATACATTCGGTAACATCTGACTTTACTGCAAATTACAATAATATTTTTTTCTTTTATTGAGATAAATCTTTTTTTAGATTTTGATATAAGTATAATTTTTATATTCGTGTGTAAACGGTTGAATTTTTTCATTTTTATTTTTCTCAAATGCATATATATATATATAAAATTTCATTGAATAAATAATATTTTATTATTCGTATATAAGACTTGTGTGTGTTTAATAATATTTTGTTTTCTTTTTTATATAAAATCATAGAATTTGTTAGCTTGTATTATTAGTTACGTATTGTGTGTATATATATATTTAACTTTTAGATTTATTTTTAATATTATTTAAAAATAAAAATAGATTCTCAGGAATGCGTTGAATGCAAAATATCTAATTTGAAAATCACTTTATAACAAGATGATACATACATTCATACATACATTAATTAATTAATTAATTAATTAAACATTAGTAGATATATTGAAATCGTTTAGAGACAACTTTACGAGAGAACGATTAATTTATTCCTACCATTTAAAACGTACTTTTGCTTATTATTATTATTATTATTATTATTATTTAATTCAAATGGAATATCATGAATTAAACATAAAATACCTCTTGCAATGTTAATTGTAAATTATTTATCACTGGTTCTTCCTTTATTTTGATTCCACGACCCTCTGGGAATTCGAGTAACGTTTGTGGCCTCGTTAAATGATCCAAAAGATCGGCGTATGGATTTTCGGTAGCAAAAAATTCTCTACGAGAACCAACAATAATTATAATATCTAAATTGAATAAATTGCATTTTTTTTTTTTTTTGATACAATGATCATGACTATTTTTGTACAATAATAAAACAATCATTCATTGATATAATTATTAATTTGATATACCTATAAGTTTTCATTGGTTCTCCGTGATAAACGTAAGGTTCGATAAACCCGTTAGGACCCGGAACACCTTGTTTCAAACCTTCCTCACCGTACTGATCATACACGGCCCTTTTCAATGGATCCGAAAGCACATCGTATGCTTCAGCTATCAAATGAAATCCTTCAAAGCAACCATTATTCCCTTTAGCTTTTGGATGATAACTTATTGCTAATCTTCTAAATCTATAATAACAAATATATTTATGTATGTATTTATGTATGTATATATATGCATTTTTCTAAATATATTCCAACATTGTATATATTATACATTATTATATAATTATATAGATTATATTTATTTATATTTTTATTGTATAGTAAGAATGCATGATATTTCTAAATATATTCCAACATTATATATTATACAGTACTATAATTATATATTGTACATTATATTTATTTCTGTTATTTGTATTGTATAGTAAGAATGCATGAATTTTTATTTTTTGCTTGTATTGTTTATTAATTATTTAATTGTGATTATTTTTTTTTAAAACAATACGGATCGTTTATTAATATTACTAATGATTATTAATTTAACGTCACATTTATATGATTTTAAATAGAAATCTTTTTTCGAATTCATCGTAATATTTTCTTTTATCTTATGTATTATTATTATTATTATTCTTTTTTTATATTATTTGTCAGGCAGACTAAAGTATGTATATTACGTTTCGAAATTAAAAAATTTCATCGAATTATATCATTTGCGTGTAATTTAATAATAAATTGTCATGAATTAATTTAGGAATAAATTACAATTAATGTATAAATTTGTGGAATATCTAAATTGTCTGAACAAATAGAAACATATTTTATTCTGTCAATATTATAAAGATGTATAATTAATAAAATTTCATTTGATAATATAATCGTAACGTGTATGTCAAGTATAACACGATACATAATTATAATTAATAAATAAACTTTTGATTTTCTTATGTAGATAATTAATTATCCTTCTTTATATTCATAAATTGATTATTCGTTATTTATTAAATAAATAATATCTATATAAATATTGAAATTTATTAATATAACAAAATTAATTAATTCGTAAATCTTTAAATAAAAATTTAATCTCGAGTCTGACTCGACACAGAATTGCAAATAATGATAATTGACTTGAAATATGTGTGTGTGTATGTGTATGCATTTAGTTGTATGTAATATCTTACGCTTTTTTAATGTCAAGGTCATTAGAATTTCTGGTCAACGATAATATCCCATAATAATCAAATCCAATGTTGTCACAATTGCAAATATTATTACAGGACATTTTTTTCTCACTTGAATTCTTAAAGGAAATTAAAACAAACAATATTATAGGTTGGTGTGCAATATATATATATATATATCGATTATATAAATATCAAAAAATGTAAAATATAAAAT